CAGGAAACTGAATAGAGTGGTTTGAATAGATACCTTGAGATAAACATGTGAAAATGGAATTTATACAACCCTTTTAAGAAATTATAAAGTATGCAGAAAATTATAAATAAAAATATAAAAAATATATACATGTAACTACTTAAGCACTTTGGTGAACAATCTTACAGAATCTCTTTGTCCATATATAATTTTAAGTAAATAGGATCTTTGATTTTATATATGAATATCCATATATATTATAGTATCCTATATAATAAAATCCTAATATACAAATTGACCGGACAGCGGAATAACTGGCAGAACGACTGGTCACTATGATGCACACTGACCACCAGTGGGCAGACACTCAACACAGGAGCTGCCCCCAGTTGGGGCCATCGAGCAGGTGGCGCCAGGCCACCAGCCAAGGTGGGTGCCAGCAGGGGCCCCCTGATCACCCCGCCCACTGGTTGCCCCACAGATCATCCCTGATCATCAGCCAGGCCTAGGGACCCTACCTGTGCACAAATTTCGTGTACCAGACCTCTAGTATATAATAAAATTTGTCGTATTTACACAAAAATATTGTCACCTGCATGCTAGAGATCTATATTAGGGCTGGAAAACTTTTTCCGTAAAGGGCCTGATAGTAAATATTTTAGGCTGTCTGATCCACATGGTCCCCATTGCGGCACCATGGCCCATGTGCAATGTAACACACAGCAACCTTAGACAATATGTCAATGAATGGTCATGGATGATCTGACCCATAGGCTGTGTTTGCCAAATGCTGATCTATACCATAATCTCTAATGACTTCACACTGCTTACAGCTATACCATAAATTATTTAACCAACCTCACTTCAAGAAACGTATCCCAAGGAGATTTTCAAATGTTTGAAAATGTAAGATCAAATAATATGTTTAATACAGAGTTATATATCATTTTGGAAAAACAGAGACAATGAAAATGTTCATCAGAAAGAGATTAATGACATAATTTTTGGTAATTCATTTCAAAGTTAGAACACCAAGTACACGTTTATTTCTTTTCTGAATTATCTGTCCCCTAAGTCAGATCAGTTTCTTCAGTTGCAGAGATCTGAAAAAATTTTTTCCCTATCAGTTATAATGTGACTAATCATTGTTTTTCCTATATGACCACAACAGAGAGATAAATATGTATAAAATTATAGTACAATTTATAATGCTATTTAACCTACAGAACCTACTCAAATTTCCCACTCTTATTCTTTTTGGTCCAGGATCCAATCCAAAATCACACTTTTTATTTACTTGTTGTGTTTCCTTAGTCTCCTTTAATAGAAGCAGGTTCTCAGTCCTTCTTTGTTTTTCATGACCGTGACAATTTTCAAGAGTACTAGACAGGCACTGTGATACCCCAGGACCAATGAACCCACCTAGCACCCAGATCGTGGTTTCTAAATACCAGGCTCCAATAAAGGAAAACTATAAGTACTTGGAGAAACAGGTGGGAAAGTACAAGATGAGCCTGAAACATCTTGTGGTGCCCGGAAATATGGAAGTGCTTAAGAAGCGGGTGGGAGCATATTCTAAAAAGATACAGAAGCCAACTAAAAGTTGAGTCGCAAAGGCCAAATCTGAGAAAACTGAACAACAAAATAAATGACTGGGATAGATTAAAACCCAGGACACAAAATAAGAATTCACTTGTTCATACTAATATAAACAATGAATGCACAAGTGAATGGATGAATAAGTAAATAAAGAACAGTAAACTTTTCCTTATTATAAATTTCCAACTAGTATCTGTAGATTAGGAAATGGTTGAAATTTTTAAAAAATCACCATTTAGCAAACACCACAGTATTGTTTCCAGCAAGAATCGTCAATGGATGCTAAAATCAGTGGGAAAAGTGTGATAAATAACTAGCTACTCAAAATACTCTCAGATTATTTCCTCATAAGATCCCTTGTTATATACAAGGAAATACAGTAACTTTTCAATAGAGAAACCCATCACTTGTAGCCTTCACCAAATTATCACAGTTACCGTTTTTTTTTTGTAATGGAACAAATCAACATCAAATGCCTTCGAATGTGATGTACTGAGAAGGTCAGAACCTCACTTTCTAGTATCTTTGCCAAAATGCAAAACCTGAATTCAAATATGAGAAAATTGTATTGATTGTCAGGGCCCAGTTGACCTAGTATTAGACACACTAGGATACACCATTTATTAGATGCATTTTCAGTGTGGCCTTTATTCAGTTCACAGAGAGATCCATTTAAAAGACTCTTAAGAAGAAAAATTATAGGATGCGAGCTGAGCCTCAAGAAGATTAAATTGGCAGCGAGGATAAGATACACATTGAGGGGAGTAAAATGAAAGCTACAGAAGGAGTCCATGCCTGTGAGGGATCTGCTGCATTATTTCAGGCACATTGTCATAATAATCTCGACTCGGGTAATGGCTGTAGAAATGAAGAAGGGAGAGTAGACGGAGAAATAATGTGAAGAAGAATCAAAATGATTTTCTACTCATGGAAGGCGAAGGGGCTGGAGAGTGTGAAAGGATGGTCCCTATTTATTAGATGGAGCAGGCAGTGGGAAAAGTCCGTCTGCAGCCTGGGAGAGAGAAATAACTCCTAGGAATGTCTGTGTGTCCCATTAAGAAGCTGAGTTTGAAGAGAACATTTAACCTGTGCAGCTACAATGCCAGTAAGGGGCAGAACCAGTGCTTAACCCCAAACCTAAGCTCAGAAGTTTCTACAGCCTATATGAAGGTCAGTGTCTACTGAGACTCTCCGAGGGAGGGTTTTTAAAAAAAACACCCTGCAAATGTCTGCAACTGTCAGTTTTGAAATGCACAAACCATCAGACTTATGTGAAATTATAAGCAACTCATAAAAAATGTAAAAGAATAGTGAAGTTCCCTTTCTATCTGTGAGTTGCATTGGGCTTTCTGTACCCAGAAGGACCGTGTTTCACAGGCTCCCAGGGCTTTCACCAGTCACCTGTTTGACTGTCAGAGCCTGGACAACCTCAGAGATCACTCACTCCAGGGTCATCCCTTTAAAGGTCAAGTATCTGATCCCGCACATTCAAATATTTGGAATACAGCTGAATCCACAGGCAGCAGCATAACCGAGGGCAGCTCTCAGGGTGGGCAGAAGACCCATTGCTCAACCCACGTGGTTCTAGGCATTAACAGCCTTGACAGGAAATGAGGGTGGGCAGAATATGCTGATCACAAACCATAACTAGACACCTTCCAGCAATCCACTCCTGGTGATGAGAGGTGTTGTTGAGACTAGAGTCTCCCCCTCTAGTCTTTCCGTAAAGGGAGATGGTGAGGCTAAGAGGACTCATCCTCCCCGCAGAAAGCGTGGAATGAACGAGAAAAATCTCTTCATTTTCAAAGGCTGAATGAAGACAGGCTGAAATAAGTAAGTTTATTCTCACTAAATTTTTTTTCTTATTTCTGATAGCTGTAATAACAGTAAAATAAATGCATCCACATTGGGAAAAGTACCCATAAAAAGGCACCGCTTCTCTTAAATTACCACAGCCAAAGTCAACACATTTTTAATCCTTCTCTAACCACAGTTCATTACAGACTCTAAGGAAGGTTTTTCATCATGGCCATTCATTTGTGTATGCTTCTGAAAAGAAATAAAAAACACTTCTAATTCGGGTACTCTACCTTCTCGCAATTAAAACACTAATTTACTTGAGACACTGCTTCTCTATAACAACCATGTTTTCAAAATTGACACTCCCCGGAATTTGCTAGGAACAGCTGAATGCATAGGGAGAGACACAGCTTCAGTGAAAAGATTACAGTTCCGGAGCTAACGTGGGAGAACCTGTAAGCTCAGGGTTGAGCCTTTCTCCTCCGCATCCACGCCTCTGATTTTAGTTTGGCTTTGAATAATCCTTCCCCCTTCCCCTTCCCTTTTTTCTTTTTCTATTTGCTGTTGGATAGAATATTAAGTCATAGGGAGAGAGAGCAGTCTGATCTTACCAAGGAAGTTGTTTTTCTCAAGTCCTTTCCTTCTCAAGTGGGTTCCCAGCCCAACCTTACTCAGTGTGATCTAAAGCTTCTCACTTCTGGTGACTCACCAAGGTCCAAAGTCCGCCACAGCACTACCTGAATGCTTGACTCACCCAGAAATCCACTTGTTATTGGAACTCTTTTCTTCTTCCGCTCATATAAAAAATGGGATTTAGAAATGCTGAAGCAATAACTAGACGAAGAAATAAAGGACTTGGACCTGGGACTTCATTGCTATCATCACTTCCTTTCTCTCTCCCCTTCATATACATATAATTCCAAGCGTCCCAAAGAAGCTACTGAAAACTTGGCACCTAAGTATTTTTCTAAAAATACCCAAAAGTGACCACTCTCAAAAAACAATGATCTCTTTCCCATCGTTGATATATTAAGAGCAGAAGGAATGCATTCATAATCTTGTTAGATAATCATAGATATACAGTAAGTAATAGCTACTAAAGACGATATTATTTTATGAGATGTACTTCAATATACAATTCAGAACCACTTGGGATTGAGGCAGGATTGCTTCTCAGTTGGAAAAAAAATTCGGAAAGGTATTTTTGAACTTTTTAGTAGGTGATAATCCAGTAATTCTGAGAAACATTTTACAGGCATATAGAACAATTTACTATGGTACTTGCAAATGGATTATTAATACTCATAAGTCAGTAGTCTTGACCTTTCCAAATGTCACTGTTTTGCTGAAACTAGACCTTAAAAATTATGATATTTACCTTAAAATTTTTAGGTGAATGAGGTAGCAAATTAATGAATTATTTAAATATAACACATTTATTCTGATTATGGGCATGAATGAGAAGGAATTTGTTGTTTCATTGCCAGGGACTGCACACACACACACACACACACACACACACAAATTCTGCCCCTGTGTCTTATAAATTCTAGATGGCAACAGGATGGTAAGAAGGAAAGAGAAAACTACAGAGTCTTCCTTTATTTATCTTAACTCTTGACCTTACATGTTGGAAAGGTGAAGGATAATTGCGGCCAGTGTTTCTTCAATTCTATAGCCTTCTGGAACAGACAACATCAATTTCATAGCAATGTCATCACCATTTATTCCCATCACAGTGGGCTGCTTGCCTGATGAAAACATAATTGGAAAAAAGTTCTTCTTATGTGGCATTGTAAACCATCTGCCATATTCAGGTTTTACAATATGTAGCAAACTCAAAAAGAAAAAAAATAGAAACAGAAGTGTTAGGGACAGTATCAGCATCTAAGAGCTACAAAGAGATGACATTATTAGGGAAAGATACGCAAAAACTGACAGCCTATGAACATGCAAAAATACATATCACTGCAAAGACACATGAATTTTCATTGCTTTCCACATCTTCCTCTGTGTGCTTTAATATATTCCCAATCTACCAAGGAATGATTTACTTACATTCATTTATTAACCACCCCATAGTGCTATGTGCCAAATCTGTTCTAACTGCTTTATAAATATTAAATCACTAAGTTTGCATAACAACCAATTTTCTACGGTAAGCACTGCTATCATGCCCATTTTACAGATGAGAGAAACTGAGAGGAAGAGCAGGATTGAAACTGGGGCAGTCTGTAGATGGATCTCCACTCCTACCATGACATGGTTGGTGCTGGTGACTGCTTCTGGCCACTGCCAAAATAATCATAAAAATTTCTCTAAAATGTAAGTAACTAAAAAAATTAGGGTTATATTCTACGATTAATTTCAAAGTTAGCACTGACATCCAAATTCACATTCTCGTATTGGTAGCTCATGGAATATGTGTTTTCTTTCCTGAAAAGCTTTCTTATAAAACATAGGTCAATGTTTCCTACAAAACATTGTCTTTCCTATACAAGACAAAAGATGCTTTCATTTCACTGCTGATGAATAGTGATTCAATCCACTAAAAATATATACATATGTATTTTATTTATATATACTTAACAACTGCCACCTCTCATACATAAATTTTCTATATGTAGGAAATACAAAGGTAGGAAAATAAAATCACTATAATTTTTCCCTTCCCCTCCAAAAGATGATTGATTATTTTGGATGAGGAGCTAGGTATAAGAATCAATAACACCCTCCCCTCACACACAAAAAAAGTAGGAGAAAGTAGGGAATAAATAAAACTGAGACAAAGAAATTAGTTGGTATCTCCCACAGGGAACTACAATATGTACGAAAGAAGTCATATCATTTTTCAGTGTCTGTGAAAGAACGGAAAGAAACCAAAATTGCTTCCTTATGTATTTTGTTTCATACCAAATAATGAATTGATGTTCAATGACTTTGATATGTTCCCTTGTTAAACAACCACATTCCAGGAGCTCCACACTTCTTACTCTCTCTTTTTTTAATCCCTGAATATTCATTTGAAAATTATGTTAGAGCCCTCATTATACTTGCTTCTTTATCCACTGAAAATTTTCAACACATTATGAAAATTAATTAATATTTTACTGCAATTTTTTTCATTACAAAGTCAGAGCATTAACATTTATTAAAGTGTCATGATTTTGTGGGGAGAGATAAAATACAAACTGGACATTTGGGGAAAATAATTTTGAGCTAATTTGACTGGGGGAGGAGGAAAGACTCAGTACCCTACAAGAGACTATAAGCTCCAGGAATGCAGAATCTGCACTGATTCGGAACTTGGTAGGAAATGAAACACCCAGAAGATGATCTCTGATTAAGTCATTTTAAACCCTACTTAAAAGAAGAAGAAAAATGTATATTAGCAATTTTTTGTTGTTGCTAATCCTCACCCGAGGATATTTTTTCCATTGATTTTTTTTAAAGAGAGAGAGTGGAAGGAAGGGAGAGAACACAGAGAGAGAAACATAGATATGAGAGAGACATATTGATTGGTTGCCTCCTCCATGCACCCCAACCAGGGTGGGGATTAAACCTATAACTGATGTATATGCCCTTGACCAGAATCAAATCTGCAGCCCTTCAGTCCCAGGGCAATGCTCTAACCATAGAGCACCGGTAAGGGCAAGCAATTTTTAAACAGTATGTCATTCCAATATTTCTGCATGTGAATAAATGCTTTTACAGACCTCAGATGAACTGCTAATCGCAGATTACACTACCTGCCACCCACACATAGCACGCACACCTAATTATTCATGAATTACACTTCCTTCTCCTTTCATTTCAGACCTCATTTCTCTTTTCTACATCTCATTACACATACACCCACCCCTGAAGAAAGACATATCCTTTTCCAACCTATAACAATACCAAGTTCCTCATAAGATCTTCTCTCTTATTCTAAAGTTGTACCTGAGAATTACCTTCCTGTTTCCTACCTGGTTCCCATTAAAATTTATTCCCTTCACTAGTCCAGCCCCACCTGCTCAAAGATTCCTGGGGTCCTCACTCAGTCCTCTGCTGTCTTCTAGAAATTGAAGAGAGCACAGTGGGGCAGCAGGTGGGGAGGAAAAGATAAGGGGGCCTGGGCACCCCCAGATGGAAATCTATTATGCATTCAGAAACATTTCAAATCCACCCAGTGCCTACCCATCTGCTCCATTTTTTCCCTTTTCTTCCCCCTTGATTTTTCATTTTGACCCCACACCTTGACTTCTCACTCCACCAACCCAGTTAACCTCAGTAAGATTTGATTTGGTCATGTAGAGGAAAATAGCTCACCATTATTCACATATACCGATTAACATTTATGTTTAAAGTAGGCCAACGATAATTACATATAATCATAAAATGCCTAAGAATCTTTGTTGTGAGTTTTATTTAATAACAATGCTCTATTCTTATCACATGTGCTCAGTCTTTATAAATTCTTACATAAGTAGAAAAATCAATTCCTCACAATAAAAAAAAAGTCAAAGATGTATAGTTTCACACCTTTGTAGAGATTGCAAACATAAGTCTGTGGAAAGGTAAGTTTTATTAATAGCCGTGGGATTAAATAAATGAATAATTTGATGGTTTTGGCATAGAGTGTGGCAAAGAGGTAATTCAAATCAGATTTTCCCAAAAGTAAAGAAAACACTAGGACACTAAAGGAAACATAGACCTATATTTTAGCCAAATGATACATTTAAAGGCAATGTTGATCAATAGTGCTTAATTGTGCCTGATATGTGGAAAGCATGCAGGAAATATTAATTGAATAAATGAGTGAATGAATTGCTTTTCTGGTTTATACCAGGCTGTTAAAATAAACTTGAAAATAATTAGCCATTTTCTACCTTCTTCAGTTGCTTATCACTGCTTTGCAGTCCGTCAACACTAAAGGTTTACTTTTCTTGGATTGTCAGTAGTAGGTCCCATTAATTTTTATCTTCTGTTTCCAAAGCCCTTTCAGTCTTTGGAGACTGCCTGTCATACGTCCCTGTTGTTGAATTCAATTAGGTCTATAAAGCTCCATATCACTGGCACATACAGTGATGGAATTCCACTCAACAGCTGGAGTGGTAAGGGAAGGAGGCTGCCTTGTCTCCCGAGTGGTCTGGGCATTGGAAGGCCTGAGAGCAAAATGGACCTAACTGACAAGTTCTGAGCTATCTCCACTCCTTAGGGTTTCTCCAGTAATAAGTAAGAAGTTACACTGATGCTCGTGTAGCAATGGGGTATTCAACCTCTTAGCGATACTAGGAGTTGATGGGAAGTTGGAAAGACATCAAAATAGAACATTGTTTCTCACAATTAAAACACCGTATTCCAGTAAAAGCACAGTGAGAAATGTGCATGTGGTTATTATTTACACAGGAATGTCTGCTCCTCTGCTTGTAGGATTAGAATGGATACAGAGAAAGAAGCAAGCATTTAAGTGATTTGAGATTTTTTTAAAGTATGACATTTTTTATCTGGGTGAGTGTTCCAGCTCCTCCTCTTATTAACTCTCTCGGACTAGATTCTTACACTTCTTGTACCTGTACCTCTCTTTTCTCCATTGTAAAATGTGAGGAAATAATGCTTACCCTCCAGGTTTGTAAGTCCCATGGTTGGCACTTAGAAAATATTCAGTGAATGGCTGGCAAGCATTGAACAGGTACTCAATAAAAGCACATATATATGTGTGTGTATATATATATATATATATATATATATATATATATACATATTTATATATATTATATAGTTACATATCATATATAATATGCTACATAATATGATATATACTATTATTATATTGTATTACATACTAGAGGCCTGGTGCACAAAAATTTGTGCACTCGGGGGAGGGGAGGGGGGTCTCTCAGTCCGGCCTGTGCCCTCTTGCAGTCTGGGACCCCTCAGGGGATGACCACCTGCTGGCTTAGGCCTGCTCCCCGGGGGATTGGGCCTAAGATGGCAATCAGACATCCCTCTGGCAGCCCGGGAGCCCTCAGGGGATGTCCACTTGCCAGCAGGGAGCAGACCTAAGCTGCAGTCGGACATCCATAGCACTGCTGAGGAGGCGGGAGAGGCTCCCACCACCACCGCTGTACTGGCAGCCATCAGCTTGGCTTGTGGCTGAGCAGAGCTCCCCCTGTGGGAGTGCACTAACCACCAGGGGGAAGCTCCTGCATTGAGTGTCTGACCCCTGATGGTCAGTGTGTGTCATAGTGACCAGTCATTCCCAGTCATTCTGCTGTTAGGGTCAATTTGCATATTATCCTTTTATTATAAAAGATAGAGGCCTGGTGCATGGGTGGGGGCCAGCTGGTTTGCCCTGAAGGGTGTCCTGAATCAGGGTGGGGGTCCCGCTGGGGTGCCTGGTCAGCCTGGGTGAGGGGCTGAGGGCTGTTTTCAGACTGGCCATACCCCCTTCAGGGAGGGGGGTCCTGCTGGGGTGGCTGGCCAGCCTGGGTGAGTGGCTGATGGCTGTTTGCAGGCTGGTCACAGCCTGTTCAGGGTGAGGGGCCCCGCTGGGGTGCCTGGCCAGCCTGGCTGAGGGGCTGATAGCTGTTTGCAGACTAGCCACAGCCCCTTCAGGGTGGGGGACCCCGCTGGGGTGCCTGGCCAGCCTGAGTGAGGGGCTGATGGCTGTTTGCAGGCTGGCCACAGCCCCCAGCCACCCAAGCTCCCAGTGGAGGATGGCTGGAAGCAGGTATCTGGGATTTATTTATCTTCTATAATTGAAAAT